AAAAAACAAGGATCTGAAGCAAAAATGGCAAAATGTGCACATCAATTATATGGGTGGTGGGAACATAGATGACTATTACCTATTTTCTTATTTGAAATAAATATTCCCTAATTTAAAGTATTTCAAAGCAAGAAACAGGCAAGGAGAGTAATGAGAGGGAGGGAGATGGTGGAGGGAGGGCCTACTTGAGATATGATGGTGAGAAGCAGTTAAGGGAAGAACTGAGGGAAGAGCTTTCAAGCTCCAAGCAGAGAGAGCAGCAAGTGCAAAGGCCCCAGGGCAGGAATGTGCCTGTGAGTCAGAGGAAAACGCAGGGTGGCTAGGGGGCTGGAGGGGATGAGCAGAAGGGAGACAGAAGTGAAGTCAAAATGAAGTCTTGGGCATCAAGGTGAGGGCTTTGCTTTTAGCTGGGAATGAGGTGGAGCCACAGGAGGGCTCAGAAACCTGACTCCCCCTGGCTGCCTGTGGGGAGAGGACTGTGGGCACTTGAACCAGAGCAGCAGACAGGGAGGAGGTAGCTGATGCTCCAGGAGGGAGGGAACTGAGGCTGGGTCAGGGTGGGCCGTGGAGGGGAAGAAGAGTTGAGATTATGGATAGGTTGTGTAGGTGTGACAGAAAGACAGGGGTCAAGAAAGACTTAAGTTTAGGGTCTGCCATCCACCAATATGGAGGAGTCATACTGCTTGGAGGCTGGGAAGGGGGTGGGGATGGAGTTTTTTTCAAGAGGATGGAATAACCCATCCTGCAGAGGGATAGGGAGCAAATCTCTGCGCAGTTGCTTCTGGCCAGAAGCTTTGAGGTGGGCCTCACATTCTGTGTTCTAGGGCAAAGGAGTCCAGAACCAACAGACGCCGGCAGTTGCCGCAGAGATAGACACAGGTTATGGCCTCAGAGCAGGGCTGCGTTCAACTCTGCAGCCTACTCGCTGGGTGACTTGGGCCACTCACTTCCCATCTTTCGAAACGGGCTTCTGTCTGTTAAAGTGCTGCTGCTGCCCTTCCCCAAGCCGTTCCGTGGAAAGCCCTTATCACTGACGTAGTGGGCTGACTTACTCAAGGTCACAGCGTAGATAAGCACCAGGGTGTGCTGAATTCTAACTCGGCCTGGCCGACCACCTGAGACAACCCTTCCGGCAGCCGTGATGCCCCTCCTTCCAGTGCAAGCCGCCGGGACACCTCTGTTTCCCAGAATCTCCATCCACCCCCCAGCTCCGCCCCATCTCTTAGATTACGCCCTGGAGGGAGGGGACCTCCGGGCCATGAGCGTCACTGGAGTTGAGGACCCCTTTCCCAGGCACCAGGGGAGAGGGTGGCAGCCTGTGCCGAGGCAGCTGCCACGGCAGCGTTTTGATTTAATCAAGTCGACCTCTGTTTCTCTGTCAGCCTCTCCTTAGATTCTTGGCCTCCGTCTCTTTTTTTTCCTCTCTCCCTGTATCTCCGGCGTCCCAGGCGCCCCCCCCCCCCACGATTTCTGGGTCTCTGTCTTCCTCCCCCTGCGGCCCCGAGTCCTTCGGTCTCTACTTCTCCCTCAGGGCCTCCCTGGGTCCCGCTGTCCCAGCAAGGCCTGGACTAGCACCCTCCGGCGTCACTCAACGTCTCTGCCCCTGCGGCCCTGCAGCCTCGGCCTCCTGGATCTAGGCCCCGCCCCCAGTGTCTAGGCCTCGCCCCCAGCCTGAGCCAGTCCCTCCCCCTTCCCCTTCTCCGACGAGGGCCGGTGACGCGCAGGGGCGGGAGCGGGAAGGGGGTGCGTGACGTCACAGCGGCCTCTGGCAGCTTAGGCCTTTTGTGCCGGCGGCTGGGTCGGTGGGGTGGCGGCCTCGGACTGAGGGGCGGGAGTCCTACTGGGACGTCTAGCTCTGCCCATCCCTGCTCAGCCGGCTCCAGCCCTGCCCTGCGGCTGGGCGCTCCCGCCGCCGCACCCATGTTCGAGTAAGGACCGTGCGGGGCAGGGGCCCCAGCCGGAACCAAGGTCCCGGAGCCAATGCACTGGGGCCACCGGGGTGGGGTGGGGCTTGGCGTTCTAGGGTGCACCCGGGCACTGAGGGCTGATGGCTGGGAGGCTCTGGCCTGGCTGGTCGCTGCCAGGGTGCGATGCGCCAGGTTGGAGGGGCTTTTGCTGGGGTTCCTAGCTGATTTTGCGGGAAGCGCGCCTGTGGGGAGGGCCCTGGCCTGGCTCGCCCCTGCTTGGGAGGTGAGGGGTGGGAGCGAAGCTGACCCAGTTCTTTGGGCCTGGCCTGGAGGCAGGGCTCACAGGCCTGGGACCCTGGGCAGGCCCAGTAGCAGCCCCACCGGGCCTGAGCCACCTCCCACAGTCTTCGTCTGTCTCGAGTCTCGGCCAGGGTTACTGGGAGGTGGGGGCTTCCGTGTGGCCGACCGACTGACCGTGTGCCTGACCCCTCTGGGGCCCTCCTGCACCCGTCTGGCCCGGTGTTTCCAGTTATGAATTGTAGATGTCTTGGAAGCTTGTGTACGCGTGTCTGTTTTCCTAGTTTGCAGGCCGCTGTAATCCTCTTTGGCTGTGTGTGTGTGTAATTTACCTCAAATTCCATGTATTCTGTAAATTCCCTGCGTGTATCTGATTAAGCCTCTGTAGTGTGTGTCTGGGCTTAGCTTGTGTGGCCATGACCTTCTGTGGTTGTATGTGTGTGGTGTATGTCACCCCATCAGACCTCTGTTGTCAGATTGGGACTTGGGAGTGTCCATACATGTGTCTAGGTTTCCAGGGTGTGAAAGCTGTGATCTTCCCTGGCTGTGTGTGTGTGTAATTTATATCTGACTCCATCTGTGGCTCCAAGTGTCACTGTAAGTTGCCTGTGTCCAGTTGTGACTGTAATGTGTGACCGTATGTGTCTGAGCCTCTGTGCTTGGTGCTATGGCCATTTGCCTCTGAATGTGCCTATAATTTACCTCTGAACCTATTAGCTCTGTGTGCAGATGTCAGCTACCTGTGTGTCCAAGTGTGATGTTGGGTGTCTGGAGCCAGACATGTATGACTGAGGCCCTCTGGGGTTATGCCTGTAATTTCCTTCAGATTCCATCTTTGTGTGAAAATCCCTTGGTAACATTGTTATATGTATCTGCCTGGGCTTCCATGTGTGCAGCTGACCCTCTGGGGCTTTGTGTGAAGAGCAGGAGAAAGAGACTTCTTGTGGGTCTTAGTGGGTCTCAGCCCCTCCCTCTTGAGACCTCAGGGGTACCCTTGACTCTGGAGCAATAATCATTACTGACATCATTCCCCTGTTATAGCTTATAAAGAATGTCCCTGGCCGCAGTGTTGTTGAGATGTGGCTACAACCCCAGGGGCTGCCTTATTCTGAGTCCTTAACTTCTGTACAGTTGTCAGGGTTCTCTGTCAGCAGCAGCTGCTGATACCTCCATTCCTTGACATGTTAGAGCAGGCTTTTGCTTTTTCTTCCATGCCAGATGGTGAGCATCATAGGAGCCCAGCTGACTCTGTGACTTAATATCCCTAGGTTGTTCATGTGTTAGCTGGGGTCCTCTGTGACTGTTCTGTGACTGTGTGATTATAACTGGGAGTGTTTCCTTTCAACTCTTCTCTGAGATGTTCTTGTAGCTGTATGTGTGAATGTATCTGGGGCTTTTTGTGGTTTTCTGTGTTTCTGTGACCCTCTGCAGCTGGCTTTATGAGTGCATTTAACTTTTGGTGTGAAGTACTTATGCTGGGACTTGTGGCTGTTTGTGACTGTAACATACCTGTGGTGCTACTGCTGGGGGTGGGAGTGTAGGGAAGAATACTTGCAACTGTGGGGAACTATAGTTTGCCCATGACACTGGCTGTCAAGTTTTGCTTTAATGCATACCTGTGTGTGTATCTCGTCTGCTCTGACCAGAGGGAGCTCTGGACCTGTTTAGGCCCAGGAAGCTGGACGTGAGTTGTCTGCAGTGGCAAAAACCCTATTCTCTGCCAAGTCCCCACCCCCATAACGGTCCTATAGATACTTGGGGCTCCTCTCTTCTCTCTGCTGCAGTCTGCCTGGTTGGGCAGCCTCAGGGCTGTGCCTGCCCCTGAGCACTTCCTGTTCCTCCTGCCAAGGAGCAAGATCTGGGGATGTCGGCCCTGCCCTGCCCTGCCTGTATGTGTTAGACTTGTCCTTAGATGCCTTCCCCTGACCTGTGGCTACAGGAGACTAAGACAGGTTAAGGAGGGGTTTGCAGTTCAGACCAGAGGGGAGAAGATGAAGCAGGTGAGGAGTGTGGTTCCCTCTCCTTCAGACCCATCCGCAGCTGACCAGAGCCCACAGTACCTGTGGGTGGGCCTGTGCCCTCCTGTCCTCCTTTCCCAGCCCCACTGGCCACCTCACTCTTCAGACCTGCCAATCTCAGCCCTGTGCCTGAACTCATTGTTCCTGCCCCTAAAACTATATTCCCCCTCCCTTTGCTAGATCTGTTTTTTATCCTCGGGGCTCTGCTCAAGTGTGCCCTACATCACACCTAGCCCTCCTTTATCACCATGGTCCTCCAACTTGAGCTTGCATCATTCTCTTGGGCCCCACCCTGTCTTTGATTCAGGAGATCTGTAGTGGGTGCCAGAATCCGTGTTTCTCAAAACTGCCAGGTGTTGCTGCTGCTGTTCATGTGATTAGTATCAGTGAGATTATCACCCTCGTTTACATTTTCTCTTATTGATTGTTTTCCAAACAACATCAGGTCCTGAGGGTGGGGATTATACCTAGTTCGCTCACTTTCTTGTGTCCAGTGCCTGGTTTGTGGCAGGTGGCCAGTGTGTAGTTAGAGAGTGAACGGCTGCAGTTTGGGGGCAGTCGGGGCTGCACACACCAGGTTGAGGTGTCTTGCCATACCTGTCGAGGTCAGTGTAGCATCTTAGACACAGGTGTGCTGGGACATTGGTAGGGCCATGTACTACACTTCAGTCTGACGGCCCTGGATGATCAAACCAGAGTGCCTTCCATGTGGTGGACTGTATGTATATATGTCCTCCTCCAGACAGCCCTGTGAGGTAGATACTTTTTTTTTTTTTTTACACGTAGGCAGCCAAAGAAAGGCAAAGGAAATTACACACGACCTTCTGCCCTGAAAAGCTGTGGCATGCCAGATCTTATTACAAGTTGCTACTTTCCTGAAGAGGGACACTAAGGGGAGGCAGATACTTTTATATTCCTATTATATTCAAGAGAAACAGGCACAGGAAGGTTCAGACTCTAGCCCAAGGTCACATAGGGAAGTGACCAAACTGAGACTTGCCACAGCCTCATCCCTCAGAGGACTGGGCAAGTCATACACCTGGTTCAGTCTGACTTCTGGGTAGAGGGAGTGGAGGGTCATTCATTCATTCTGCCCACAAGAGCAAATGGCCAAGGAGCATGCAGTTGGGAAATAAACCTCTTTCCCCCCAGGGGTCCACCTCCTGTGTGAGAGGATAAGAAACAAAGACAGCCCTAGCTGGCGTGACTCTGGATTGAGTGGCGGTCTGTGAACCAAAGGGTTGCCAGTTCGAATCCCAGTCAGGGCACAAGCCTGGGTTGCAGGTCAGGTCCCCACTTGGGGGCACACATGAAGCAAACACACATTGATGTTTCTCTCCATCTCTTTCTCCATCCCCCTCTCTCTGAAAATAAATAAAATCTTTTAAAAAGAAGGACAAATATAGAAGGTTGGGTCAGAGAAGTAATGAGGGGAGAAATGGAGAGGAGGGAGTGTCAGGATGTGAGGAGTGTGTTTTAAATAGAGAGCTGAAGGAGGATGCCTTGGAGATGTGTTCACTGAGCAGAGACCCGCAGACATCTGGGAGGAAGGGCCTTTGGCAGAAGGAACAGTCAGGGAAGGAGCTCAGAAAGAGTGAGCGAGGGGGCTATGAGAGCATCTAGCCCTCAGCCAGAATGAGGTGCAGCCAGAGGAGGGCCCTGGCCTGGTTCACAGACTCCCTCTGGCTGCATGTGGGGAGATAGGCAAAGCAGGGAGACCTTGAGAGAAGGTGGCTATGATTGCCTAGGAGGTATGGCAGTGGCCTAGGTCACAGCTATTTATTTATTATTTATTTATTTATTTATTTATTTATTTATTTCCACAAATTCATTTCACAAGTATGACGTGAATGGCTGCCCTGGTTCCAGTCCTGAGCAATACCAGGGACAAAACAGTGACCGAGACAACAGGGAGCTTACAGATCTGTGGTGTTGTCATCAATAGTGACAGCACAGAGCAGTCGGGGCTAGGATGAGGGAAGTGTAGGTGGAGTGGTTAGAACTGGGATGGGAGCCAGGAGACCCACAGAAGTGGGGGCAGTGTCCGGGAGGGAGGAGTTATGGAGCAAGAGTCCTGAAGGATGCATAAGAATTTGCTAGGCCAAGAAGACGAAGGATAGTCTGGGCAAAGCAAAGAGGTCATGCTAAAGCTTAGAGGCAAGAGGGAGAAGTGTGAGGAGCCTCGACTGTTTGAGGAACTCCCTCCTCCTCCCCAGGGGAGAGTGAAAGCCCTATGTTGGAATCCTGCTCTGAATTAAACTGTGGACAAGTGGTTTGCCACTGTAGGCCTCAGTTTCTTCTGTGAAGGAGGTGATAACAGTATCAAATGCAGTGTTGTGTGAGGATCAGTACAATTCATAATATGCAGAATGTGCCATGGTAGTGGGTCCTGATACAAAGTCAGCAATGAGTGTCCCTTCAAATGCCCCCAAACTGACCCTACAGCCCTATGAGAGTTTGTTTTTGTTGGTCCTCTGAGCGTTCTACTGGTTCTTGGGCTGCCTCCCAGCAGCAGGCTAATTCCCCAAGGCTGGGACCACATCTGGTGGTCTCTGCTGCTCCCCGCTCTAGGCAGCACATGGATTATTCATGGATCACCGATGCGTATTCAGAGTTCACTCTGGGCCAGATATAGTTTTGGGGTCTGGGGACACAGTGGCAACCAGGACCTCCTGAAGGTCTGGAGCAGACAATGACCAAATTGAATAAGTGATCAGGGTGAGTTGAGATGGTGTGAGTGGAACTGGGGGCTACTTCCAGCTGGGCCACCACTAGAAATGCATTTGAGTGGAATAAGACAGCTGCTTATGCTGGGGCTGTGGAAGGACATTCAGGCACAGGGAATGGAAGTGCAACAGCCTTGACACAGAAATGCACTTGGTGGGCTTTAGGGGCAAAAGGAGGCTGGGATGGAGGAAGTGACAGGGACCACATTAGGGCCTTGGATGCCAAGGTAAGGACTTTGCTTTTAGCTGAATTGAGGTGCAGCCTGGTGACGACTCAACCAGGGGGGCCCTGACCTGACTGGACTCTGTCTGGTTCATAGGCCCCTCTGGCTTTGTGTGAGGAGCAGACTGTTGAGAGTGACCAGTGTGCAGGAGGCTGGGCCAGGTCACTGGATGGAGCAGGGGAAGTGGGGCTAATAGAAATAATGGAAATAGATCTTGGAGGTGGACTGGGTGGGACTTTACTAACAGATTAGAGATGGGGATGAGCCAGAAAGAAAATAAGATGCTTAGGTTTTTAGCTCAAGCAACCGAGTAGAAAGGGGCTGCTCGATAAGTTTTTATTGTGTAAATGACTAAATATACACAAATATAATATAGCAGGTATATTGAGAGCTAACTGTATTCCAGGCTGTATTAGAAGCACTGTGCATTTATTGTTCATTTACCTCCAGACAACTGGATGAGGACATGTATTTCTGATCCCTGGGTCACAGTTATAGTAACCGAGGAACAGAGTTAGGGAATCTGCTCTGGGACCTGCTGCTAGGAAGTGGAGTAGGATGGATGGGTAAGGATCAGTGGGCTGATGCTCAGGCCTCCCAAAATAGGCCTGCCTACACCCCCTGGTTTGTTTTATCCCATAACCCCTTCTTTTCCCCCTCCCCCCAGTACCACCCCCCACTCTGGCCGGAGCACGCCAAGCAGCTCACCATCTCTCCGTAAGCGGCTGCAGCTCTTGCCCCCAAGCCGACCCCCACCTGAGCCAGAACCAGGCACCATGGTGGAGAAGGGGTCAGATAGCTCCTCAGAGAAGGGCGGGGTGCCGGGAACACCCCACACCCAGACCCTGGGTGGCCGGAACTTCATCCGCAACAGCAAGGTTGGTGGAGGTCCTGGCCAATTGGGGAGAGGGGTAGAAGACCAGGGATCCGGGGCCTTGTTCTGATTCCACTCCTTTCTCTTGCAGAAGATGCAGAGCTGGTACAGTGTAAGTATTTTAAAGGGTTTTCTAAAGGGGTTGGAGGGAGGGGACAGCAGTCAAGTGGGGCTGGGTCAGCAGACCTTGAGTCATATCTTTGTTGCTACTTGTGTGTTGTGTGACCTTGAGTGAGTTGCTTAACCTCTCTGGACCTCTCTCCTTGAGAAACAGTCCCCACTTTACAAGGCTGAAGGGAACTTTCACTAAGAGTCAGTGATGCTGCTGGGTATGTGACACAGGACCTGGCTAATGTAGAAATCAATAAACAGCAACTCTCATCATGTTTACTCTTGTGTTACTGGCAGTGGAAGCCAGAATGAGCTAGACTTCAGAGAGCATTAGAGAGCCTCTCTGGGGCAGAAGAGACTGAGGGGCTTCTGGGAGCACAGAGGGGCAGAATTAGGGGTAAACACCACCTGGATTCACACCTCCCACACTTCCCCCAGATGCTGAGCCCCACGTACAAACAGCGGAATGAAGACTTCCGGAAACTGTTCAGCAAACTCCCTGAAGCTGAACGCCTCATTGTGGGTCAGTCCTGATATGCCCACCCAGCCCTGAGTTCCCATCTCTGCCCTCCTGAACCTCCCCACCGGGGTGCTGGGTAGGCCAGCCGTGTGACTCGGGTCTCTGCCTGTCTCTCCCCTGGCTGCCTCAGATTACTCCTGTGCCTTGCAGCGAGAGATCCTCCTCCAGGGCCGCCTCTATCTCTCTGAGAACTGGATCTGCTTCTACAGCAACATCTTCCGCTGGGAGACAACAGTGAGCCCGCGCAGGGATGAGAAGGGGCCCTGGCAGGGCTCCGGCCCCTCCTGACTCGCCTGTCCTTCTTAGATTTCCATCCAGTTGAAGGAAGTGACATGCCTGAAGAAGGAAAAGACGGCCAAGCTGATCCCCAATGCCATCCAGATCTGCACAGAGAGTGAGAAGGTGAGTGAGAGGACCTGCTGACAAGGCCAGGTGGTCGCTGATCTTAGCCAATGCCTCCCTTCTTCCCTGACCAAAGCCCTGTTTTTTCTGCCCCCTGATCTGCTCTCAGTCTGTGGCTTTCTCTTTGTTCTCCCTGCCCCTGCCCTGGCCCAGGTTCCCATCATCTCTGACTTGGATCTTCACACCAGCCTCCTGCTATCACAGTCCCCGCAGTCTGTCCCCTCACACAGCTGCTCTGAGATAGGATTAATAGTAAAATTCTTCCCTCCTACGTATCTACAACTCAGATGTCTTCTCTCCCTGGAAGAAGGAGAGACACTCCTGACACTCCATTCTGTCCCTGTGATGTTGATTCGTGGCCCCAAGATGGCTGCCTCCCATCAGTGTGCCAGACGGGAAGGGAGAAAGAAATGTGGCTGTGTGCACACACACGACACTTCACAGCAGAATTCCTTTGTGTTTTATTGGCCAAAAGAAGATCAGTTGACCACCTTACGGGCAAAAGAGACTGGGAAATTGCCCTGGGCTTCCCCACTCCTAGCCCCAATCCCTCTGGACTGACCCCATCTGGAGATGAGCCTGCCTTAGCCTGTGAGCTCTGGGTACAGAGCTAGGGACCATCTCCCCATCACAGTGACTCCAGCATCCAGTGCTAGGTTGGGCACAGGATAAACATTCTGTAGAGAGAATGAAGGGATGAATGAATGGATGTACCTCAGGATGGAGATTGGGACAGAGCTGGATGGGGGTGGAGCTGCCCCTCTACCCTTTTGTGTCTCTCCCACACCCCATCTCTCACCTGCAGCATTTCTTCACCTCCTTTGGAGCCCGGGACCGCTGCTTCCTGCTCCTTTTCCGCCTCTGGCAGAATGCGCTGCTTGAAAAGGTGGGCCTGGAGGAGGCCTGGACAGGGGACTTTGGGGGTGGGCCAGGAGAGACCATGGAGCCAGGGGTGCCAGTACTGGAGGACCGCTCAGCTCCTCTCCATGGGTATCTGCCTGAACATATTGGCAGCATCCCCCATGGGCCCCACGAGGGACCACCATGGGCTCTGGTGACAGAGTCTGCCCACTAGAAATGTGTATCCACAGCCTCTTACTCACCGTAACATTTTCTATATGTGACAGTAATATCTGCTCTAAGCTAGTAACGTGGTATTTATTATGCATATGAGCACTGCATAGTCAAGCTTTCTGCTGCGATGGAAGTGTCCTCTATCTGTGCTGGCCAGTAGAGTAGCCACTGACCACGAGTGCCCCCTTGAACTCTTAAAAAGTAACTAGTGTGATTGGGGATCTGCATTTTTAATTTAATTTTAATTAATGTAAACTTAAGTGGCCATGCGTGCCTCTTGCATAGCACAGGTCTGTATCTCCCCACGTCTGCTCATGTTGTTAGTGTGTGTGACTGGAACAGGTCTCAGATGAAGTTCAGTGTAATGTGCAATATATGAATAGAACATACCAATGATTCTCAAACTTCATAGTTCCAGAAACAATTTACACCCCTTAAAGTAATTGTAGGCTCCAAAGAGCATTTGTGTAAGATGGTTATATCCATCAATATCTACTGTATTAGAAACTGAAACTGAGACATTTTTAAGCACAAGAATACACAACACATTGCATAGCGACCAGAAAAATTACAGCATCACTTGCCATAGAGCCTCTAGAAAACCACTGTATACTCGTGAGAGAATGAAAGTGAAAAGATAAGTAACATCTTATACTACTAGTGATACTTATGCTTATGAAAATAATTTTGACCTCATGGGAGCCTGAAAGGGTCTAGGGGACCCCCAGGAATCTTTGGACCACACTTTGAGAACCTCTCATACACTGCACTGGATACAAAATATAAGAGTTATTATTATTGGTTCTCTATTACGGCCTACAGTATTGGCACTGTGCTACTTTTCTTCAATCCAAAATCTTAATTTTGTATCATGTCTTGGCCCAAAGTCTTTGAGGCAGGGATTTTAGACTTCACTTGCTACAGTCCAATAGCCCATTGAGTGCCAGCCCTCGGCAGGCTCTCCTGGAATGCCCTCTGTGGGCATTGCATAGGTTTACGTAGGATGTATTTGGCAATAAGTAACTGAAATGCCAACCAAACAATGGTTTAAGCAAACAGATACTGAATCATTTCACAAGGTAATAGTAGCTAACATTTAATGGCTACTAGGTGCCAGGCATTGATCTGATTATTACATGGGTAAACCCATTTCATCTTGACAACCACCCCACAAGGCAGTATGGTTATTATCTATATCTCACTAATGGGGTATGGAGTATTAGACTCACCCCTGGTCACATGGGCTTTTGTGTGGCAGAGCTGGGTTCTGACCCACTGCAGTCAGGTTCTGGCCTCCACTCAACCACTGCGTCACACTGAGGCTCATGTCATGAGAGGTCTGGAGGCAGGTGGGCCAGGGTGGGTATGAAGGATTAAGGACCCAAGTTCTTGTCCATTTTTCCACACCCATCCTCTGCATGGTGATGTTTTGTTCACATGCTTATTGTCCTGTGGTTACAAGGTGGCTGCTGTGCTCTCGTCCAGATGTCATACCATCACATAAGTGTCCCAAACATGAAGGGGGACAGGGGTGGATAGAAAGTGGAAATTCCTTTTTTTTTTTTCTTTTTTTTTTAAATTAAGAAAGGGAGAGCAACATCAATGTGTAGTTGTCTCTCACTTGCCCCCATCAGGGACTGGCCCACAATCCAGGCATGTGCCCTGACTGGGAATCAAACCGGTGACCCTTTGGTTTGCAGCCCATGCTCAGTCCACTGAGCTACACCAGCCAGGGCTAGAAATTTCTTTATAAAGGAGAAAAAGCTTCCTTTAGATTTTGCTTTGTATTTCTTTGGCTAAAATGGGGTCACGTGACTGCCTTCGGCTGTAAAAGAAGTTGGGTGTGTGGCAAAGGAAAGATGAATTGGCTGGAGAAGATTTTTCACTCCAAACAGATCAGTTATGCTGGCAGGAAGGGAGTGTGGCTAGATGTTAGGTTGGCATGGCTCGTTGCCGCTGGCCTGTAGCACCTCAGAAGGCCGGAACCCGCTCCTCCAGCAGCACTGTGCCTCTGTCCTGCCCTCTCAGGGGCACCTCCAGCTATGGCCAGTGGGGGGCAGCAGTGCTGGAGCAGGAGCTGGAGAGAGGAGACAGTGCAGCATCAAAGCCTGCAAGAAGGACAAGAGCAGAGGAGGGTTCAGAGTTCAGGTCCTGGAGCCAGATTGCCAAGGTTGGGGTTCTATCCCTATCACTGAGGAGCTGCATGACCTGGTTAAGTTGCCAAACCCCACTGGTTAGATGGGGACTCTCCCTGCTTCATAGCAGCCAGGCTTGGGTTCAGAATAAGTGCTGCTCAGCAGTGTCACTTCTTATGAAGCAGGGTTGTCCAGAGGTAGCTCCAGGGTGCTGGAACAGCCCCTGGGGTAACATATCAGCACTGCCCCTTGGGCACCTCTGTGCCTCAGTGTCATTGTCTTAAAATGACGTTGTTAGCACTGACTTTATAGAATTGTTTTAAAGACTCAGTGAGTTGGCTCATGTGAAAGGATGAGAAGAATACCTGGCATATAGTAACAACTCAGTGCATGTCTGCTGCTGCTATCATTATTGTTATTGCTGTTTTATCATTGTCATCCACCCCTTCAGGCCACGAGTAGCTGAAAGACCAGGGCTCCTGAAGACATGAGAAATGGATGGGGGCAGGACAGCATGGGGGTGGGGGTGGGAGCAGAGGTTCTGGAGGCTGGCTAGGTTTGAATCCCTGAGTTGCCTCTGGTCACTTGTGTGGCCTTAAGCACATGACTTCTCCCTGGGCCTTATGTTTTCTGTAAAACTGGGACCATTAACTTGTAGCTGTGTATTGTGAGAACCTGAGGGGAAAGTCCTGAGCACACTGTCTCCTCCCCACTGGGCTGTCATGGAGTGTAAGATCTGGGACGGGGGACCTTGCTGCCCTGTGTGGGCACTGGGGGAACTGCTGAGGCTGGTGAGGACTGGGTGGAAAGCATTCTGGCCTGGGTGTGGTGGAGGCCAACCCTGACCTCATCTTGCCTGCCCAGACGCTGAGTCCCCGAGAGCTCTGGCACCTGGTGCATCAATGCTATGGCTCAGAGCTGGGCCTCACCAGTGAGGATGAGGACTATGTCTGCCCCTTGCAGCTAAACGGCCTGGGGTGAGTCAAAGGTTGACAGCCAGTTCCTGGAGGGGTTGGGGGAGATAGAAGGGGTTGTGTGAAGAACTCCTGGACTTCCAGGTGGACTGCGGTGGGTGCATGAGGTCTCAAAGATATAGTCATCCCACACCCGCCCTTTCATTGCAGGAGCCCCAAGGAAGTAGGAGATGTGATTGCCCTAAGTGATATCACTCCCTCAGGGGCAGCCAACTACAGCCAGGAGCCAAGCCCAGTGGGTTCGCGCCATGGCCGCACCACCCCCAACCTTTCCCGAGCCAGCAGTGATGCAGACCATGGGGTGAGCAGAGGGAGAGAGGAGGGTGTTGTGGGGAAAAGACAGAGGAAGGCTAGAGGTGGTGTCAGGGAGAGGGACAGATCGGGGAGGACCAGGGAGGGAAAGGTCCAAGGGACAGAGAAGAGGTGAGTGGAGGGGTAAGAAAGGGGATAGATGGAGGGACAAGACACAGCTGGGGAGATGGTCAAGATAAACAGGAACAGGTAGGGAACCAGAAAGACGAGCAAAAGGGAGACAGACAGATGGAAAGAGTGACAGACAGAAGAGGCAAAAGAGAGATGGATGCATCCAGTCAAGGCATGGACAGGACAGGCATAAGTAAGCTTATAGCCCAGAGCCATCCAAGATAGGCCTGCAAGGAGCTTAGAGGAGCCCTTGTCCGGGCAGCCTCAGGGCCCCTCTGAAGCTTAGCTGTAAGCCCTCTATATACATGTGACCTCCCAGCACTGGTTTTCTTAGACTTGAATTCTTATGGCCTATGTGGTCACGCAAGAAACCCTCAGGCTGGGATGGAAGTGGGACAAGGCTGGATTAAGTCATTCTCTGCAGGCAGAGGAGGACAAGGAGGAACAGACAGACAGACAGCCAGACGCCTCTTCTAGCCAGATGGTGACTCCAGTGGCCGAACCCCTGAGCACAGAGCCCACCTCACCTGAAGGACCTGCTTCCCTGGGCCCCTTGGATCTGCTGCCCAGTGAGGAGCTGTTGACAGATACAAGTCACTCCTCCTCGTCCACAGGGGAAGAAGGTGAAGCAGGTGACCCAAATCATTTGCTTTAGTTGCACATAACCAACTACTCAGACTGGCTTAAGCAAGGGGTTTGTGGGCTCCCTGGACCAAAAAACCCAGGGAGTGGGCAGGTAAGGCTTTTAATAGTGTTGTTAGACATCTGCCTTACCTCTGCTTTAGAGGTAGCAGAGCAAGGCAGATAGGAGCATGAACTCTGAAGCCAGAGCGCTGGGATTCAATTCTGGCCACAGTGGCTCCTAGCCATGTAACCTGGGCAAATCATTTTTCTGTGAGCCTCATTTTCCTCTTCTGAAAAATGGGATTAGCAATAATAATACCCACTTCATGGGGTTGTTGTTAAGAGAATTAAATGAGTAAATATATATGTAAAGTACTTGGGCCAGTTAGTAAGTATAGGCTATTACAATTTCCATCACCATCGTCATTTCTATTTCTCTGTGCCAACTTCATTCCCAGGTACTTCTCCTTTTGTTGGGGCAGAGAGAGACACTGCCCTGCTCCAGATAAGCCTGGTAGAGAGGAAAGATGCTTTTCCCAGTGGCTGTATTAAAAGCTCTAGGGTTGGCTCTGAGTGGAAAATGAGCCAACTCCTGAACCAGTCTCTGTGGCTGCTTGGGGTCACACATACCCCTCAGAACCAACCACTGTGGCTGCCTGGCCCCAGAACCAATCCCCGTGGTTGACAGTCATAGGCCTATGAGCCTGTGATGACTGGGAATGCAGTTGGCTGGGCCTGTAGTGAGAACCAATCACGATGGCTCTGATTGTTTGGGCTTAGGGCACGTGCCACCAGAAAACCAACCCTGTGGCACAGTGCCTGCTCTGGTCTAGGCAGACAGATCTGCCCCTCCACTCCACAAAGCCAGGAGTGGCATAGAGTGGTCTCCAGAGGCAAACCAAGGAACCACTTTGAGCAGGGAGGCATGCCGATGGCCTCATTTGCTGCCCTTCTGTGTCTCCCAGCGGACCTGGCTACCCTGCATCCTGACCTCTCCGGTCGTCTCCTCATCAATTCTGTCTTCCATGTGGGTGCCGAACGGCTCCAGCAGATGCTCTTCTCAGACTCAACGTTCCTGCAGGGCTTCCTGGAGCAGTGCAAGTTCACAGGTTAGGGGACAGATTCCCCAGACACAGGGGAGGTGTGGGGAGGACGAGCCTGGAGACAGGTAGGCCCTGCTGTGCTGGTCAGGTGTGCAGGGTGAGGGGGTTAAAAGCAGCATCCATGAGAGCAAGTGTTCTGCCTCTTACTAGCAGGGTTCCAGCCTCTCTGTGCCTCAGTTCTGCACAATGGAGGTATGATACTAGGGCCTGCCTTATCGGGTTTCAGGAGATCTAAATGGGTTGATGCTGGAAAAGTACCTAGAGCAGTAGCCGATAGTACATATTTCATAAATATGACAATCATACATTTAGTACTACTCTATGCAGAGACCAGGACAGAACCCTAGAATCTAGGGAGAATGAGGGTAAATAGATTCTCACACAAATAAATGTGAGTATCAGAGAGGTAGCTGTGATCTGATCAGGAATGGCTACTGGAAGGATGTGAAGTGGAAACTAAGGCCCGAAGGAGGGACTTTTCCAGAAAGGGGAGGAGGTGGGAAAGAGAAACCTACATAGCCCCTGAGGCTGGAGGCAGGCACTGTGAGAGATCCTTTGAGGCTGGGCCCCTGTGGGTAGGTGTGGAGAGGGGAAGCCACAGCAGCAGGTGAAGTAGAAGGGTTGGCCATGGGACCAGCAGAGGAGCTCAAGAGTCAGACAGGGGAGGGAATGTGCAGGTCTGGGGCTTGGGTGGGAAGCCTAGAGGACAGCTGGACCACTCCTGAGATAGGGCCCCAGAGGATGAGCAGGTTTGAAGAGATGCTGAGGCCAGCATGGGGCCCAATAGGTATGAGGGGTCCAGGGGACTTAGAGGGCAAGGTGTTCAGGAGGTCATAGGACCCCAGGTCTGAGGCTCAGGGGAGAAGCCAGGACTGGTACTGAGAGGGAAACTGAGGCTACAGGAGGGACAAGAAGTGTAGGAGGGGAAAGGTTCCAGCTCTGAGTATCATCAACATCTAAAGTTTTAGGCATCCCAAGGAACATGGGGTAAGCACCAAGATGGGGACATGGAGGAAAGGTGGGTTTGGGGCAAGGCCCAAGAAAACTGGAAAAAGGCTGAGTCTCCTATACCCTATAGGCAAAGGCTGGTGAATAGTGTCCTCATTCTGCTCTCCCTACCCTAGACGTGACCTTGAGCCCCTGGAGTGGGGACAGCAAGTGCCATCAGCGCCGAGTGTTGACCTACACCATTCCCATCAGCAACCCACTGGGTCCCAAGAGTGCCTCAGTGGTGGAGACACAGGTGAGCCAGGTGAGGTGACCAGCCCAGTGGGACAGCCAGGTGGGCAGCCCTGACTGCCTCCTCCCTTGCTCTGCAGACGCTGTTCCGGCGTGGCCTGCAGGCAGGCGGATGTGTGGTGGATTCGGAGGTGCTGACGCAGGGCATCCCTTACCAGGACTACTTCTACACTGCCCACCGTTACTGCATCCTGGGCCTTGCCCGGAACAAGGCCCGTCTTCGGTGAGCAGCTGCCTCCATCTGATGCTCTGGTGTTCCCCGGGCCCCAGCCCCGTGCTCCCCAGCCCCGTGCTCCCCAGCCAAAGTCAGTTGCTACCCTGGTAGGCAAGCAGAAGTGTTGGTCCCTCAGGGGCCAGGAACACCCAGAGGCGTTTGGCCTGAGCCTCTAGATGAGTGGAACTGCCATAGACCAGGATGGGGAAGATGGGGAGAAGTAGGTATGGGGGTTGATCAGGAGATCAGTTGGGGACGTGTCAAGCTACCAAAGACCCCCATGTGGAGTTGCATGAAGCAGCAAGACAGAAGGAGTTCAGGACTGAGGTGTGTGTGAAGCCTGCAATGTGCACGGGCAGTGCTGAGGCGGCACTTATGGACAGGAGACTTGCCAAGGTAGTGGGTGTGAACAGAGAGGGAGTTACAGGCTGACTGGCTGGTACTTCAGGTGAGCAGGGATCACAGGGAAGCCATGGGTGGGTGAGGGGGATGTATCTGTTTTGTCTGTGGGTACACAGGGCCCTCTCTGAATTAGAGAGGAAAGCACCCCCTGAGAGTGGGGCAGCAAGGCTGGAGTCAGACCCTACCCCCATTTTCCCAACCCTAGAGTGTCCTCTGAGATTCGCTACCGGAAGCAGCCCTGGAGCCTCGTGAAGTCTCTCATTGAGAAGAACTCGTGGAATGGCATTGAGGATTATTTCCACCACTTGGGTAGGGGACAGAGTTGGCCACAGCAGGATGGGGTCATGGCCTGTCTGGATGCAGACCTACAGAGTCCTTTCTTGTGTCCACAGAGCGAGAGCTTGCCAAGGCCGAGAAGCTGTCCCTGGAGGAAGGTGGAAAGGACTCCCGGGGATTGCTGTCAGGCCTTCGGAGGCGAAAGCGGCCCTTGAGCTGGAGGGGTCATGGTGATGGGCCCCAGCGCCCAGACCCTGACCCCTGCGCCCGGGCCAGCATGCACACCTCAAGTGCGTTTGTTTGTCAGGCCCGGATAGGGCAGGTAGGAGAGCAGGGCCCAGGTGGGGTAGGCTGGATGAATCTGTCTGACTCTGGGTTGCTCTCCCACAGGCTCCCTTAGCTCCCGTTTCTCAGAACTGACCACGGACCAGGGCCCCGGGACAGGCATCTCCAGTGCCCTGGTGCTCATCAGCATTGTGTGAGTAAGGAGGCCAGGCTTTGGGGTCAGACAGGCCTGTGTCTGCATCTCAGCTGTGTTACCTTAGGCAAGTGTCTGGCCTCACTGGGCCTCAGCTTAAGTGAGAGTGTGGGCTTCCCTCAGCACAAGGATTAAAGGAGCCAGTGTTTGAGCTGTGCCCAGCATACTGCTCTGTTCGTCATGAAGAGGTCTGCCTGCTGGGAGAGGGATGCCTGGGACTCTGGGAGGTTAGAGAGACCTGACTTCACCCAGGGGGCAGGGAGGGCTTTCTGGAGGAATCGGTACCCAAATGAGGCAAATTTAGGTGAACCAGGAGAGGTATGCAAAACAAGCATTTTACTTACACACTTCATTGGTGTTCCTGTGTTTAACCCTAAGCTGGGTGATGCTGGGCACCTACCTAGTGGTAACAAGCAGCTCTGGGGGAGACAGTTCTGGCACCAGACCAAAGTAATGGGGGAAACAAGGAACAGGGCCTGGGTAGGGAAGCCTTGGGAGGCCAGTGAAGGCTTCCTCCAGGCAGGACAAGTAGACAGTCAGGGATAGCTTCCTGGGAAGGCAGAGGACTCCTGAGCTGAGACCCCAGAGGATTAGGCAGGGAGAGCCACATGAATGAAGGTCTGGAGGTGTGGAGGGGCGGGACACTGAGGAAATGGAAGTGAGATCCATGCTTTCAGCAAACCTTAGGAGGTGAGAGTCAGATCAGCCATGCATCCAGCCTCACGTCCCACTGAGAGGCTGAGTGGCATGCTCTGCTGGGAGCTGGGGTCAAGGAGGGGTGGGGTGGGTAGGACGGGCTGAGCAGCTCTCATCTTTTTGCCTCCCCCTCACTGCTGCCTCAGGATCTGTGCGAGGTAGGGTCCTGGATCCTGCACCTCCCCTCACCTCATGTCTCACCCCTGGCTGCAGTCCCTTCTCTACTCCATCTCCTTGGCTCTCCCAGTGAGCTTGTTTGGCATGGCAATTAAGGGTGTGGACATGAGACAGGCAGGCCTGGGTTTGAACCCTGACTTTGCATGTCTCTCCCCTTCTCTGAGTCTTAGCTTCATCCTCTGAAGAGAGAGTAGTCATGGTGTTCCTTCAAGGTGTGGTTGTGTGTGTGCCCAGCTTGTGGGAGCACCAGTCCTGACTCCTGACCTCTGATTCCTGCCCTCAGCCTCATCATCCTCATCGCCCTCAATGTTCTCCTCTTTTACCGCCTCTGGTCCTTGGAGAGGACAGCTCACACCTTTGAGTCCTGGCACAGTCTGGCCCTGGCCAAGGAGTGAGTGGGTACCCTGAGGGGGTTGGGAGCGTGGACAGGTTGGGGGAGGCCAGCGCTCTACTCAGGCCCTGCACCCCACTCAGCAAGTTCCCCCAGACGGCTGCAGAGTGGGCAGAGGTCCTGGCCCTGCAGAAGCAGTTCCACAGCGTTGAGGTGCACAAGTGGAGGCAGATCCTGCGGGCCTCGGTGGAGCTTCTGGATGAGGTATGGCCCTGGGGCTCTGGGACTCTGCACTCAAACCCAAAGGCGTGGCACATGCCTCTGGGCCTCGGTTTCCTCCTCTGTAAGATGAGGAAGCCATTCATAGTCCCCCTCCTTGTAGGGTTTCCGGAAAAATCAGCAGAATGAAAGGATTTATTCGCTCCCATCTTGGGAAAAAAGTCCAGATGTGGCCGACTAGGTCTGGCTGGATCCAGCCACTTAATGGCAGTGAGACTTGGTCTCTGGTGTCATCTTTTGACTCTGCCTACCCCCAGGGTTGGCTCAGTTCTGAGTGCCCTCTCCCCAAGGATGACCAAGGTGGTACCTGCAGCTCTAGTCTGACATCCAAAGGAAAGGACTTATTCTCATGGGTTGCTGGGGTCACATGCCCCCCACCACTGAACCAGCCACAGAGGCCAGGCAAGACTTGGTGTCTGAGTCTCTCACCACTTTGGGGTGACTAAGGGGGATCACATAAAGGTGGGGGAGAGGTTTTCCAAAGGCTATTGGGGTCTCACCTTTAGAAGGGGTTACCCCATAGAACCCCTGTAAGTTTAGGGGCAGCATCTATTCAGAGAAGGCCAGGTTCAATTTCTGGTGTGTGGCCTTGCGCAAGAGACTTGGGGCCTTGGCTTCTTCTCTGTAAATGGGGCAGTAATTGACATTACCCCAAAGACTATTATGAGAATTTAAATCAGTTCACATTGGAATAGTGCTAACATCATAGTAAACACTTTATGTGTGTTTGCTATTAGTAGTATAAGTCCAGTGCCAAGCATACAGCAGATGCTCAATAAATGTGGTGGGTCAGCACAAATTTCAGACACATGGGCTAAGTACCTAATGTGGGGAGCAAGTGTGGGAAGCTGGGGAGCACCTGGCATTAGCTGGCCACCAAGGGTGTCAGAGCCTGAGGTAGTGGTGATGGTGCAGACTGTGTCTGGCCCCTACGGGCCATAGTGCTACGGCTTACCTTGGGGCCCACTGCAGTTAGTTATGTGTGGACAGAGATGCTCAGTCTGGGAAGGGCTCTGGAGGACAGGGTAGGGGGTTTTGAAGCTAGGGCCCCCTTGCTCAGAGCCAGGGAGGGCAGGGCCTCCCCATCCTGAGTTAAATTCTCATTTCCCTCTCAAATTGCCATGGGCACTGAGTTGGCTTCTCAAGCAGTGGTAACAGTGGACACTGATCAAGCTAGGCTGTTCTAAGTACCCAAATGACCAGTTGCCTTGCTTCTCATGGCTAGGCTATGACGAGAATGTTCTTGTCCCCCAAACATAACAGACAGGAATGCTGAGGTGTAAAGCGACCAAACTTGCCCAAGGTTTCACAGCAGGGAATAAGAATAACATGCATTGGGCACCTCCTGTGTGCCCCAGATCCCTGAGATAACCTGCTGAAGCAGGTATTACTGACCCTTCTTTCAGCTAAGGCACTTAAGGACAGGTAAGGGGCTTGCCCAAGGCTTCCCAGTAGGTAGCAGAGACCAGACTCGAACCCAGGCCATCTGGACCCCTTCCATCTGCCGTCCGTGATAAATTAAACTGGGTGTAGTGTTGCTCTGCTCGTGTTATACTGTGACCCTGGCAGGAGACATGGCTTCTCTGGACCTTCCCCAGTTTCTCAAATGCAGGATGGGGGGTGACATCACCCCTCCAGCACTCACTCACCACGCTGCCCACCTCTTCCCCCAGATGAAGTTTTCACTGGAGAAGCTGCATCAAGGCATCACTGTCTCAGACCCTCCCTTCGACTCCCAGCCACAGCCGGATGATAGCTTCTCCTGAGGACGTCTGGCCACACAGCTGTCCCTGGAAACGGTCAGATGGACACAACCTCGGTGACCACTGCTGGCACAGTGTGAGCACCGGCAGCCTCCTACCCACCCATCCTGGTGGCCTGGCCTGGGGCCATGCAGACATGGGGACCACAGAACTGAGATGCACTTTTGACCAGCGTGTTTAAAGTGCAGCTGCCGTCGCCTGCCCAGCCAGGGAGCTGACCTGGCCTTTGGCAGGCACCCTGCTAACTTATTTTGTCCAGCTGGGGTTGTGGAGGGCACCTCCTGGGGTACAAGATTCCCTCAGTCTGGGTTTAATATATTGTATTTATTTGGGCTGACAGAGCCCCAATAAAGGGTTGGAAATGGCTGTGGCTGTCTCCGTGGGGCCCAGGGAGTGGGAGGGGAGGGGTTCTGTCCATTTTCTGGGGCCATAGTCACTGACATGACCTGGAATTCCCTAGCATCTTCCACAAACTTTGCATAATCAGGGTCCAGTGTGGGGGTTCCTAGGACAAACTAACCCTGGTGGCCTGGGATCAAATTGTACCTCTGATACTTAGGTACATAGACTGGAGCTGGTCAGCCTCTCTCAGCTTTAGTTTCCTCTGCTGTTCGATGGGCATAAGAATAGCCCCAGTCTTCCAGGGTTGTTAGACGTGAGTCGTTCTCAAACTTGAGCCATGTCAGAATCTCCTGGAGGGCCAATCTCCAGACCTCCCAGCAGAGTGTGATTCAGCAGGTCCAGGGCAAGCTGGCAGCTTGTACTTTCGGCAAGTTCCCGGGTGATGCTTGTCCAGTGATCCCCCTTGGAAGAACCACTTTATGAGGATGCAGGAAGTTAATAGAAGTGGCAGCTTATAATAGGGTAACTATTCAGTGATGTTATTCATCACAGAAAAGTTAAAGGGAGAAAAGTACTCATGGGCTGTGTATCAAGTACATGCCAACCTGAGGACCATGGTCTGATATTCATTTACTTCTTACATTGGCTCTATGAGTTGGAGACAGATAGTTGCATGCCTGAGGCCCTTATCAGGGAAGCCTGGCCCCTGGGACCCCACATGCAGATGCAAGGTGTTAACCCCTTCAGGACTCACAACGGCCCATCCACATGAGGCCATCTGGACCCCTGTCTTATTAATGAGGAATGGGCTTAGAGGTGAAGTCCCTGGTCCAGGTTTAATGTAGATCTGTCCCCTCAAACCCCATACTAGTTCCAGAGTGACTGAGGGGTAAAGAGAGACCTTTGACATGTCAGTGAGTCTGTAAGAATCTCTGTGATTGATGACTTGGGGCAGAAGACTAGAGGAGGAATGTACCACAGGAGACAAACAGCAGAGCTCACCTCTCCTATCCCTAGCTATGTGCTCATGGTGAGTTTACTCATTCTGAGCCTCCGTGCCCCATACCCACCTGTAGGAAGAATTATATGAGTTAATGTCAGTAAAGTGCAAGAGCAATGCCAAGCCCACAGCAGGTGCTCAGGGAACATCAGCCTGTTGGGGCTGTCAGTAGGTCCCCTGTTCAGTGTCTAAAGCCTGTCCTCATTGTGCCTCTGCCTGCCACCTAGCCAGAGGGAGAGCTCAGAACAGCAAGAAGGTTATTTTCTGTAAGGGAATTTCATAATCCAGGAAGTAAGTGCTGGCACAGAGGCCCAGACCACAAAGGTGTCCAGTGTCCCTGGCCGCTTGTCCCTGTGCCCACGTCCTGTCCCACATCCTGGTTCCTTGTGCCCAGCAGAGATGGGCCAGGGAGTTTCCAAAACTTCATCCCACCCAGAATTGGTGGCCAGGACCTGGACAATGACCCCCCAGCCAGAGCCTGACTCCCACCAGGGCCTGACAGCCCAAAGCCCCCATCCTCATCCTCTCTACTAGGCAGAACCTATTCATAAGACAGGCCACCTACCACCACTGGGCAGGATTCCAGACCCACCTGAGGCCAGGGCCATGACCCTAGTGGAGGGAGTGACTCAGCCTCAGTGTCCTCTCTGTGAAATGGGAATAATAATGGAACTTGCTGAAATGCATTCAGCACATCACAGGAGCTCTAGCATTCACATTTATTTATTTATTTATTCATTCATTCACTTGACAAACACTTATCAAGCACCTGCAACGTGCCAGGCACAGTTCAAGGTGATGGAGACACTGGTGCGCAGGATAAAGTCCTCCCCCCTGGGGCAGTTTATATTCCTGGGTTAGAGGGACAGGCAGAGAACAGGGAAACTACACGAAGGAAGAGTACAATGTCTGGTGACAACTGCTGTGGGGAAAAAAGTAAAGGAGGTCAAGTAAGAGACAGGGGAGGCAGTTTCCCTAAAATGGACAGAAGACCTGACAAAAGTGCCATTGAAGCTAGAAGCTGCAGGAACACCTGGAGTGAACATTTGGGTTACCCGGGAGAAGAGTGGTGCAGGTGAAGGGAGGAGCAAGGGCAGAGGCCCAGAGGCCGAGAGGAGCTTGCTCCGTTGGGAAAGCAGGGAGCTCAGGGCAACCGCTCAGGAGAGGAGGGGAGAAAGGAATAGAACATAATGTCAAAGACAAACACGGGGGCATCCTCCTGAAAGATACCACCCAACTCCCCAGGACAGGCTCTCTTTTGGATCCTGCTTTGGAGGGGTCTGGAATATTATAGGTAGCCCCAGCCTGACCTCCAATGCCCCCACCCACTGCCCACTTGGGTTCCCACACAGTGATCTTCAGGCCTGATGCCAGGGATCTTGGAGAGAGGTTACTCGTATGCCCCTTCAAGACCCCCTAGTTCCCATAAGGATGACCTCTATAATGTGAAGTCTGAAGCCCTGTCCCCAAACCACCCTCTGCCCCCTTGTGACTCTGGGGGTAACCTTTCCCAGACTATAATCCTGGAGGTCCCTAGCGTCTGGAGGGGCCAGACACCCAGGCAATGCACCCATGCTGGGAAGTCGTGGTCGCTGCACCACTTGGAGAAGCCGGTGCAGCGGCGCCTCCCGGGCCGCTGCGGCAAACGCTGGGCAGCCGCGCCCTCCCTCCCCCGTCCCTCCCCCCCCCCCCCCCAGTGATTCATCCCGCCCCCTCCCTCTTCCTCCTCCCTCCCGGGCCGCTGCTGCCGCTGCAGTGCGCAGGAGAGCACTGCCTGAGCCCAAGCGCCGGAGCCGAAGGGGGTCGGGGTCGGGGCATCTGGTGGATGAGCCTGGCTGTGCGTGCCAGCGCAGCAGCCCAAGCAGTGGCCACAGCCTGCGCGGCGGGGATGCCCGGACGCCGGTCCCCGGGGCTGGGCCCCTGGCGGTAACCGGAGCGGGGGGGCCGCGCCCCCCCTCCTCCCCCCTCACTAGTCCCAGAGCCGCAGCTGCTGCGCCCGCGCGCTCCCGGGGACATTAGAACCGCCGCCGGGTCCCGCTGCCTCTCGCCTGGCTATTAATACCGGCGGCCTGGGAGAAGGGTGCAGCGCGCAGAGCAGTCATGGAGACACTGCTGGCTTTCTTGGTCGGCACGGCGCTGGGTAAGTGCGCAGGGGCGCGAGGCGAGGGGCGCAGCGGGGCGCAACGGGGTATCGGGTTAGCGCTCCAAACCCCAGAGAGTGGGGCGAGGGCCTCTCCCGCTCATTCCCCGACCAGAGTCCCTTCAGAAGTTGGGCGCGCAGGTTGCGGAGCTTGGGGGAGGGTCGAAGGTGTGGGTGGTCCAGAGCCGGCGGGAGTCCTGCTGGCATTGCTTCGTGGCTTCGGACGTCCAGGGGGCGAGGAAACGCGGAGTCAGCTGCTCCTGGAGCCCCGCAGGCTGCAATGTGACACCCACAGTCGCGGGGGGGGGGGGGGTAGGGAGTGGGAGGGGTGGCGGCTCCGGGAGAAGGAGAAGAGAGAGATGGAGAGACAGAGAGAGATGGTGTCAGGAGAGGGAAGGCGCGAGAGACACAGAAGGACCCGGAGTGCTCCGCTGGGGGACCGGGGAGATGGAAGTAAAGGGACAGAAAGAGACGGGAGAGATGCAGTTTGCCAGAGAGAGTAAGGAGAGTTCATCTGAACTGTGGAGAGAGAAAATTAAGAGAGTCGGAAGAGAAGGAGACACTGGTAGACGGCGGGGAGGAATGGAGTTTAAAGGGGGACCGGGAAAGGTGGAGAGAGAGAGCCAAGAGCGTGTCTGAGACTGGAAAGAGAACACAGAGTGGTGGACCTTCAGAGAGACCCCAGGAGAGATAAAGAGGGGGCGTTAGAGACAGAGTTACTTGGAGAGATTGAAGGAGACAGCAGGGGAGGACAGGAAGCCCCCTGGACTAGTAGAGGAAGAGACTCAGGGACAGAGAAAAAGGTCCAGAGCCGGAGCTGCAAAGACAGAAATAATTAGTGAGCTTTGGAAGTCAGGAAGGCGGTGGCAAGCAAGAATGTGGAGGAGGGGCCCAAAGGCACTAGAATCCAGGGGAGGTGCAAAGGCTCTGAGGCAGAAAACAGCTTGGTGAGTTTGAAGAAGCTAATGTGAGGTGGGAGCCTGAGGACAGAGTCAGGAGAAGTTGCGGAGGGGGCGGATGGCAGGAGCTTGTGGTACTGACTGGGGTACAGGGATGGAGTGTGGGTCTGCCCCAGTCCCAGCACCCACCTCCCTCTTTGAGGAGCTGCCTTCTCCCAACCATCTCTGGACTGGCTGGTTTCGCAGAGTAATAATGGTAGAAATGACTGCCACCTGTACCTTCTAACACAGTTGGAATTCTATGCACACCGACTAGGTGCTGCAGTATCCCAGCCAAGTGGCCTTCTGAAGAAGGAAGGGGTAGTTGGGCAGCACAAACTCAGTTACTGAGCATAGTAACAGCCCTACTGACTGGGGGCCTTCTGTGTGCCAGCCCACTGCTGGGACCATACCAAAGTCAGGGAATCTGCTCAGCAGCTTCCAGAAGCAGAAATAATTGCTTTCCTCACCATCCACAGAGGAAAATTGAGGCTCAGAGCAGATGGGTGGCTTGCCAAGGGCACTCAGCGAGTGGTAAGTCCAGTCTCAGTGCCCAGATCTGTCCATTCATTACTGAGGGGAAACAGATGGTTTCCAAGGGGCCGTAGGGCCAACAACCAGCAGGTCCGGCATGGCCGAGGGTGATGGGTGCCCCTGGTGTCTCTGCAGTGTCCTCAGCCTGGGCAGGCTGTGTGGAGGTGGACTCTGAGACAGAGGCCGTGTATGGAGAGACTTTCAAAATCCTGTGCATCTCCTGCAAGCGCCGCAGTGAGACCACCGCCGAGACCTTCACAGAGTGGACTTTCCGCCAGAAGGGCACTGAGGAGTTTGTGAAGGTGTGTGGGTGCACCGCCTTGGGATGGGAGGGTGGGTGTCGGTGTCTGAGTGAGGGCAGGATTGGGGGTGGTTGTTTGCTCTCAGTAATGTGCTGTTATGGATGACCTGG